AATGTTAACATGGTATATAAAGTATAAACTAAGAATTTATTTTAGAAAAACACTATTCAATAAATTTAATAATATAATTAATTTACTTAATCTTTATAATTTAAAATATTTTCTTGAAATACTACCAAGTACCAACATACTTTTAAAATTTATTTTTATTTACAAATATCGTATTAATAAAAGGGGGTTTTGTGCATAAGTGACCAACCATCTTTATTATTCTAGGTTTATGGGCTATATCTCTTCGCCAATAAGTTCACCTTTAATATTTATTATAAAAAAATAAAAAAATAAATGTATATGACAAAATTATCCCAACCATTTACACTCAATTCTTAATTGTAACCCAAATTTAATCAATTTTGACCACAAAAATTCCATTTTGACTTTTTTTTTTTTAACTTTTGTTTTTCAAAATATATTTTTTTGCCGCCGATTTCCGGCGGTCAACGCCAATCTCCGGCATTGACTTTTTGATTCTTTTTTTTTTCTCATAAAATTTTTATTATTTTTTTACGTCCGCCGCTAAACGTTGATTGTAATTGTACTGTCATTAACACTAATTATACTGTCACTGACAGTACATTAATGTAATTGTACTGTCGTTGACAGTACATTTATGTAATTGTATTGTCGTAGATAGTACAATTAGAGTCAACGACAATATTATTATTTGTTTGGGTTCTTTTGTTTTGTTTGAGTTGTTGGCGAAGTAACGTAATAATATAACTAACTGTCTACTATTGTAATATTACTGTAAACACAATAATATTATTGTAGTTGACAGTAATATTATTGTTGTTACAGTAATATTACTGTCAATCACAACAATATTAATTCTTTTGGCTTTTTATTATGTTTACATTTGTTGAACGGTCAACATATTAAAATTTCTCTATTACAAAATAATAATGACTTGTTGTATTAATATTACTGTGCTAGAGATTAATATAGCATAGTTAATATTACTGTCAACCACAAAAATATTGTTGTTTAAACGCGAGAGGGTGGGGCAAAAAGATGTTAAAGAAGCAACGGACGAAATTGTCCATAAAATTGTGTTTTAGGTTAAAATTGAATAATATGTGAAATTTGGGCTAAATTGAGGTTAGATTAAATTAAAGGATAAAATTTGAGCATATTAAAATGTGAGAGGCTATTTTAGTCTTTTACAAACCTCTGGACCATGTGTGGACTTTTTTCTCTGGACCCCTTTATGAATAAATACTCATTGATGGACTTATTTGTAAAGTGCCGTTAATAAAATGGGATTATTTTGTAGACCCCCTCATTTCCAAATTATATTAAACTAACTACCAAGTGGATTACACTCTAGGGGAAACCCCCCTCATTTCGAAAATATTTTGACATACCCCCCTGGGCCACCCTGAAGTCCCTATAATACCCTTTTAAAATCAGTTTTAAACCCTAGCCACTACAATGGTCTCTCTTTTCCTCTCTCAGATTCAAAATCCCGCCTCCACAATCCTCCCACCGGCGAAATTGCTTCCCGAAGTCATAACTCACTCTCCGGTGGTCGGAATTCGATGGTTTAACTACCGTTGAATTCCTCTCGTTCAGCTCTTCGTTTTGGTGGTGATTTCATTCAGTTTGGAGCGCTGATCTGTTTCTGCAATTTTTTTTCATTCGACGACGGTGGTCTTGCCGGAGGTGTATTTTATGTTCCACCAGTTTAAATTTGACGGGCTACCCACCGTTGGATTCCTCTCGTCGAGATCTATATTTTGATGGTAATTTTGTTTATTTTTATGTTTTCAGATTTATTTCTATATTTTTTTGCATTTGTGGCCGCACGGAACAGTGGGTGGTTATTAGTAGCGACTAGGGTTTTGGTAGGAGACGAGGGGGTGAGGAGTCACTGTCTGTTTGATTTAAAATCTGTAGCATTTCCCAACAATAACCTCTCTCTCTATCTCTCGATCTCTTAGTCTCTGTTGATTTTTGAACGTTTTGATGTTTCTTCAAATTTTGTTCATTTGCACTAAAGTATTTTTTTTTGTTTTGATTTTGCAATTGCAGCGTAATGGAGCCATTGATCCTCTCCTTGAAGGTGTAAAAAAATTTGGTTGAAGTTATATATGCTTCAAAGATACAGTTTTTTGCAGACTGTATACAATTACTATACATTACTATACATATAGTAACATGTAGTTACATATGCATATATTTGTGTATTTTCGATTTGTATTTTATTGGTTCTTAGGTGATTTATAATAAAAATATTGACATCTGTAAATTTTTGTTGATGTTTATGAATTTCTTTTGTATAAGCCAACATTCGTGTATGTATACAATTGATCGACTAAAAATATGGGGTAAAAAAACGAACATAACTATGAATTACTATAGATACTATAGTTACATGTAGTTATATATATATATATATATACATAAATTTAACAAACAGGTTTATTATTAAAAAAAATAATAAATAAATCAGTGAAAATGATATATACAGGACCATAAATGTTGAATGCAGTTTGGGCGAAAATTGCATATAAGGGTAATATAGTAATTTCGCTTTTTCAGGGGGTATGTCAAAGGATGATTTGGGCTTGGGTTTATCCCTAGTTTATTTAGTGGCCAGGGGTATGTAAAATAACCCCATAAATTTAACAAACATGTTTATTATTAAAAAAAATAATAATAATAAATAAATCAGCGAAAATGATATGCAGGACCAGAAATGTTGAATGCAGTTTGGCCGAAAATTGTATATAAGGGTAGTAGAGTACTTTCGCTTCTTCAGGGGTATGTCAAATGATGATTTGGGCTTGGGTTTATCCCTAATTTATTTGGTGGCTAGGGGGCATGTAAAATAACCCCTAATAAAATACGCTAGAAAAATAGATACGATAAAACATTTATAATTACAAATTGATGAATTATGTTTTTTCTTTTCATAATTTTTAAACAATAAATAGCTTATTTAATAAATTTTAAAAGATAAAATTTTAATAAATGTTTGTGTTTGTGGGCGGTTGGATAGGGGTGGTTGTGGCGGCAGATTTGCAGAAGGTGGTGTTGCGGCGTTTGGAGTGTCGGACGAAGGACATGTCTTGAAGTGAGAAAAAAATCCCCTATTTGTTGAAGGTGAACGAAGTGGAGGCACTGGCGGCAGAGCAGAAGTGGCTGAGGGATAGAAATGGTGGAGGAAGAACTCTGAATTTTGGTGGTGGTGGGGGGGAATGACTTCTCTTTTTTTTTTTTTTTTTTTAATATTAATATATGTAATAATATTTTGTGTATTTTATTTGTTTCAAATAGAAATAAAAATTAAGATTTTATTAAATATAATGAAAAAATTTCCAACGTGTAATATTAGATTTGGGTATTTTGGTCTTTTCACAACTGGTCAAGGGGAAAAAGGTAAATGGGTCGAATGTGCATTCTAAAAATAAGCAGGGGATATTTACTAATTTTTTTATGACATGAGGGAATCGTGCAGTTGCGAATTTCACAGGGGTAGTAAATGCAATTCACTTTTCAAAGGCACTTTCCCCCTAAGCTCGTGTTCGTGTTGTGCACTCGCGGCTTGTGCGGCTAGTGAAGGAAATTTTATTGTAAAAAAACCAGTGTTCTAAAAATTGAATAAGGCGATTCCAAACATTTACGATTTTAGTGTAAATTTTAAAAATCGGGTTTTTGCCTGTGAGGCGGTCTGATGCGGGTCAAACTTCGATGGTAAAAATCGATCAAAAAAGACGATTTATTAATGGTGTTTCGAAATTGAAGGTACTAAAAAGATATGAATAATGTTTTCTAAAAATGATGAAATAAAAGATTATGAGGTTCAGGGCAATGCCCCCGAGATATTGTTTAAAGTGCATGAATATAAAATAATTAAAAATATGAAAAAAAAAAATCAAAATTAACAATATGATTTACTGGTTCGAACGTATATAATTTTTATAGGAAATAGACTTCATAAATATTTATAAACTTGAATATACTAATGAATAATATTTATGGGTCTCAAGGTTAAGAAAATTGCATAAAGATCTATTGATCATTTAGTTTAAATTATTTTTGAATTGATGTTCCAAAATATTATATATAATAAATTTTTAAAAATAAGCTAAGTACGATATATAAAGTGTATATAAAATAACTTGGGGCCCCAAATTTTTGAAAAAAAATTCCGGACCCTAGGCGACCGCCTACTTTGCCTCCCCTCAGAATCGGTCCTGGCTGTGGCGAAGGTTGGGCATATCGCAGAAGAAGATGATGATTTTTTTAAATCGGGAAGAGGCGGTGGCTGCGGTGGGGTTGATGGGAAGAAGATAGATGCCTGATTCATCTACTTATTTCCCTTTTTTTTTTTTTAAATTAATTTATTTATATTTACTATATATTTTTCACATTGTTTTTTTTTTTTTTTTTTGAGAATGTATATTTTTCACATTGTTATTTTAAAACTAAAATAGAAAAACTGTAAAGTATAAATGAGAAAATTATAAAACAAATATTGAAAACTTCAAATGTTACAATTATATATTAAAATATTTTTATATATTTTTCATTTTTAATAATTGCAAAATAAAGGATACATAATATTAATAAAATTTAAAACAAATGTTTTATACATTTTTCGCATTTAATCAAATTAGTTGTATATTATCAAAAAATCCAAAATAAAGAAATACATAATATTTATAAATTAAATATAAATTTATTAATTGCTAAAACCCTATAGTTGTATTAAAAATATAACATAAGTATTAAATAATAGTTAAAAACCTATATATGTTTCTAATTCCAAAAAAACCAGGGTATTCCTGTCTTTTCAGAAGTGGTCAACGGGTAAACTGGAAAGTGGGTCGACTGCGTTATTTAATTTTTTTTATAGGGGGTTCCAATGATATTTATAACACAGGGACTTTTCCTGCAATTGTAAATTTCACAGGGGTACTTTTTGCAAACAAACTCTTAAAAAGACTGTAATATATTACGGTCAAATTCCCTGTCTTCGAAAAACCTCCAAAACCCTAAAACATAAAAACTCTAACCTAGCTTTTCTCTCCTTCAACAATGGCGGAATCCTTTCCTGTAAAACCAAAACTAAAACCCACCGCCAGCAAGAACACTCTTACCCCTGAATCTAAGTACTGGAAATCTTTCAAAGTTCCTAAAGAAATCGATGCCCTATCAAAATCTTCCGTTATCCCGATAACTTCACTCTCCTTTTCTCCGGTTGCCCCTCACGATTTGGCCGCCACCCAGTCCACCAACGTTTTTAGGTTTCCGGGTAAAACCCTAATTCCAAAATCCAAAATCGCCTCCTTCCCCGACACCTCCGCCTCCGCCTCTTTCCGATGCGACGGCCAGCTTCTAGCCGCCGGAGATTTGAGAGGCGGCGTTCACGTGTTCGAAGCGAAGCCCACCAGCCTCAGCAAATTAAAGGATCTCCGTCGCTTAAAGGGCCACGCAGCCGCCGCTCGCCTCGTCCGTTACCCACGCGCTTCGGACAAGTTCCACCTCTTCTCCGGCGGGGATGACTCTGTTGTCAAGTACTGGGACATTGCAGAGGAGAAATGCCTCTTCAGTCTTTTCGGGCACAAGGATTACGTCAGATGCGGCGATGCTTCTCCGGTAAGCGACGAGATGTTCGTTTCCGGTTCTTACGATCACAAGATTAAGCTTTGGGATGTCAGAGTGTCCAGTGTGGGTTCGGTTATGGAACTCAACCACGAGAAACCCGTGGAGAGTGTGATCTACTTGCCCTCCGGTGGGTTGATTGCAACCGCAGGTGGCAATTTCGTAAAAATATGGGATGTGATCGGAGGCGGGAGGCTGTTGTATTCAATGGAGAGCCATAACAAGACAGTGACATCACTTTGTATGGGCAAGGTTGTTAGAGGAAACGGAGACGATGCCGAGCAGAACAGGATACTTAGTGTTTCTTTGGATGGGTACATGAAAGTTTTCGACTATTCGAAGTTCAAGATTACTCATTCAATGAAGTTCCCCGAGCCACTTATGTCGGTGGCATTTTCACCCGATTGTTCGACACGAGTTATAGGTACCGCGAAAGGGACTATGTACATCGCGAGAAGGAAATCGAAGGTGGAAACTGAAAAAAATTCGTTGGGAGATCAATTTGGGTTCGGGGCTGTGGTGGACGAGCCTCAGAGGAAGGTTCTAAGGCCGTCGCATTTTAGGTACTTCCATCGCGGGCAAAATCAGAAGCCGTTGGAAGGCGATTACTTGATAAAGAGGCAGAAGAAAGTGAAGTTGGCTGTTTACGACAAGCTGTTGAATAAGTTCAGGCACAAGGAGGCATTGGTTGCCGCTTTGAATGGGAAGAATCCGTCGAATGTTGTGGCAGTTATGGAGGAGCTGGTTGCGAGAAAGAAGTTGCTAAAATGTGTGAGCAATTTGGATGGAGTGGAGTTGGGTTTGTTGATGGGGTTCTTGCAGAAATGTTCGACAATGCCGAGGTATGCAGGGCTACTTACGAAGTTGGCGAAGAAGGTTGTGGAAATGCGGGCGGATGATATAAGGTCTTCGGTTGAACAGAGGAATCATATTAGGAATCTGAAGAGAGATGTCGAAGAGGAGCTTAGAGTGCAACAGTCTTTGCTGGAAGTACAGGGGATAATATCTCCAATGCTGAGGATTGCTGGCAAAAGATGAAGATGAAGATATTCCAGTTCTGTGTTACTTATCTGGTACTGCTTTAATTTTGATCAACTGTGATTTTGTTGGAATAGTTTGGTTGTTAGCTTTTTTTAATTTATGTTGTGTTTTTACTTGTTGATGCAATTTTTGCCTGGTGGAATTTAGTTGAAGTTTGCTCATTTTTGGTCGTGTTTAGACGAGACTCGGATAATCAAAAAACATGTGGTCAATTTAAAATTCATAATTTTAAGATATGCGTATTCAATATTAGGGTGGGAAGAAAGGGCAAAAGTCCTATGTGGTCAAGTATAAGAGTAAGGTTGCAACTGCATAGGATGATAATGGGAATGTTGAAGTTGTTGATTCCCTGCAATTAGAAAGCACTTTGCGGCCGAGGATATATTTGTACCTCATCAAGATTATCTTGTTTTGTTTGTTGACTTCAAGTTGTTAGTTTCATTCTTCTCTGTTTTTTTTTTTGGTTGCGAATTTTGTAATACATTTAATAATTGGTTTTTATTTAGTACTTATGATGTGATTCATGTGGATTTGACTGGAATGAGTATAAAAGTATCTGTTTTTAATTGCCGCGACCTAAAAATTTGTAGTAATTTGATTATGTGAAAATTTGACTGTGAATTATTTGCTTGCCTCATATTTGTGCCCTTGTATGTATGTATGTATGTATGTATGTTTTGCGCGAAATTGAGGTGTTTGTATTCTGTCTTTCACAACATTTGTTAGTGTACTTGATACTTCTAGTTGAGGTGTTTCTGATTATTTCCTACTTACTTGAGGAAAGCGAGACGACAACGGTTAGTGTCTCAGTTCTCTCCAGTGAAGTTGTTTGGCATAGTAATTGGATTCATTCTTGAAATTGTTGTTTGGGTTTCTTCTTGTAGACATTTTTGTTTTCATTTGGTCCAAGCTATGGCGTGACAACTTGCCTCTTTTTTTTTTCCGGTTTCTATCCAATTAACCGATTTGTGTCCGATGTGATTTTGTTATCCATACATAAATATGTTTCTTCCCAAAAAAATTTACCTCATTTAACATTGAAGAACACTGAACTATAAGTGAAGAAAGATTTTTGTGGAGTCCTTGCGTAGGGCGATATTGTACTGCTTAACTTTTTTCGGTTTCCATTGTCTTTTTGAAGGTTGATTTTATTTTATGGTTGTGAATATTATGCCATAAGATAGATGTACTCGTATGAATTGTCTTCTCTTTTAAATATTATGTTCAAAGGCTGCTTATTTGGTTTCTAATTCATCTTCTTCCAATCAAAGAAACTGATTCAGTTGGTCCCAATGTAGATACAAAATATTGAGTACCCACTTTGCCCACCTTTCTCGACAATCTGGTTGATAACAAAAAGAAGTGAAATCACACCAAAACATGGGCCGGTTCTAACTATAGGTGAGATAGATGGTTGCCTTGGCCCCCTGATTTTTTGAAAAATTAGGGACCCCAAATAATGTTATGTACTCTCTATATATTCTAGTCATAGTCATAGAATTAATTATTAAATGATATTTAAAATATATAAATAGTTCATCAATTTGAATAACTATAACTATATTATTTTACATAGTTTAAGTATTTGTTGGAAATGGCTTAGATCAATTATAATTAGTTAGATATTGAATTCTTCAATCAATTTTTTTTTTCTTTTTTTCTATTTCAAGAGTTTAAACTTTTTTTCCAGCAATCTTTTCATTTTTAATAATCTACATTGTCTATCTCTAACTTCAAAGAGTTTTGGCAATTTGAAATACGCTCTATATTTTAGTTTATTATATTTTTAGACAAATGTTACATATATTTATTTATTGAATAATATTTCTATGATTATTTTCAAAATGATCATATTTTTGTCATATTTTCTTTAAACTTCTTAACTGCTAATCAAAAAATTCTTCTCTAGTCGTGCTCGATAGAATGAATATGTACATTATACAATTCGCCTACGGCCCCCTATTTCTCAAGAACGATCCTGAAAAGAACAGAGGCTCACCATATAAATGTGAACTTCCTCTTTGCTTTAGTACTTGTTACATTTTTTATTTTATTTTTGAGTAATTCAAGTCATTACAAGGGGAAGTAGGGGAGGGGGGACTCGAACCCTAGACCTTTTACCCTATTGGTAAGGCTATGTACCAACTCTCCTAGTGAGGGTTGGTAGTACTTGTTACATTTAAAACCAGAAAACGATGGCAACGGTAGCATTTTGGTGGCCTTGAAACCCAAAACACACACCTCAATCGTAAGGATAGTTTCAATTCAATCATGTTAAAAGAATTAATGTGTGACGAAAATCAAATCAAGAAAACCATACTAATTTAAAAAAAAAATGCAATTAACGATTTTGAACCTCTTCATCCCCTAATACCTATCATTATCTTAACTTTTTTTTGAGCTCTAAAAAAAAAAAAAGTTAAGATATAAAAGAGAAAAACAAAATTATTAAAAATTTGATATGCTGAGTATACATATATTAAATAATTACGAACACACCATAAAAAGTCAGTAAATAGATTGATAAATAATATTGAAAACGTGGTCAATATAACTAACAATAATTTTCACGATTGAGCAATCAAACTTGAGGTGTCATAGCTTGTCGATTCCAACATGTCATCTTGAGATCTCATGCTCAATTATTTCTCCACATCATCAAGATTGGCATATGGGGAAGTCGTAACAAAGTGTACATAATGATGTAGTAGATTTGAGAAAAGTTGGAAAGACCATCTATACATAATAAATCAGTTTTAGCAAAATTCATATTTTTAAAAAGAAATAAATAATAAAATTATATATGAATAGAGAAATAAAAGGGTCCTCAAGTAGCTATACTAATTAATGGAATACAATCAAGAATTGTTGGTTTCTACGCCCAACCAAGACGAATCATCACTGCGCTATTTTTCCATTAAATCACAAAATAACTTTTAAATGTGAATGATTTTCTAGAAACATGTTATATGGTGGATGTGGGAAGTTATTCATGGGGAATTATTGGAAGTGAGGAGTTATTAGGAAAATTATAGATAGATTAATATAATCAAAATAGGAAATGACGAAATTGTCTATTCCTATTGTTGTATCAGCACAAAATATTCTAAGGTCTCGTTTGGTTGTCAATATAAGATTAATTAAGATAAGATTAAACAGTCTGATGAGAAACCATTTATCTTATCAGATTTTGGGACGTCCGACCAAAAAAAACTCTTTAAAATGCAAGATAAACCATGATAACATCATATTTGCGAATCGACCCAAAAAGTTATTGACAATATCAAAAATGAAATAAGCTCCAATTATTTAATTAATAATGGTTAATCTCCCTCAAGCAAACAAGACCTAAAGACCGATAATAAATCATAGCATAAAGTGTGTTAGTGTGTCATGTAAATTCTCAAGTGAAATATCGCTAGTAGTAAGGTGATTATGTGTTTATAACTGAGAAATATGTACATTTTGTTTTTTGGAAAATCGATGTGGGGAATGTGCTTCATCTTTTGAATCTGGTAGCTTTAGTTGGACCATAACCATTGGCCTAATGCGGAAAAACAAATATTAATTTATACACATTTGTGGACATTTTATTTAGAGAGTGGTATCCGATGGATTTTGGGGGACAACAATCACATTTTCACACTTTATTTCGTAAGCTTTAATATTGAAGGGGCGGGGCCCACTCTTCATCCGGATTCATGGAGAATGCTAAAACATAGTCCCCTTGTTGGAGACCAAGTTTTACTGTTTTAGGGCTCAATGTTGATTCCTTCCACTATCCCAAGGGGAACTACAATTGTCTAATTTACCCCTCAATTTTTATTCGAAATTGTATATGTATTATTCCAATCATATCCACCCCTTACTTTCCCATCTATAATAATAGAACTTGATTTTTTTTAGCTAAAAAAAAGGGAACAAATATTTATTTATTCATTTCAAAATGGCTGACTTGAGATTGGAAATAGTAATGTCATGAATAATCAAGTGCAAACTCATCTTAATTAAATATCCATTATGTTTTAGGTTGAATTTGGATGAGAGATGCAAGTTTGAGATTGAATTTGCAACAAGAATTTCAAATAATATATGATGCCGGTGAAAATCTGACCTTACTAATTTACGATTTTTCTGGAACCCAAGTAGATAGAGAATGTCGAAATTCAATGCCATGTGTTCCAGACTATAGGAGAAGGGTGACTAGTAGTGGTGAGAAAAAAATCGAAAAATCGAGCTGTTTCAAATTGTACCGAATAGCAAACCGTATGTATAGTTTTTTATTTTTAAAATAAAATACTAAATTATTCGTTTCGGTATGGTGGAAAAGGTAAATCATCGAACCGAACTGAAATTATAAAATGACATCATTTTATGTAATATATGTATTATATTACCCTAATTTTTACTTTATATCTTTCAATTACTTGTTTCATTCTAAACATTTGTTCATAAATTGAGACATTGTATTTATTTAATTAGTAACTAAAATTTTACTAGAGTTCATGGTTTTAATAATGTAGTTTATGAATGTAGGAGAAAAAAAAAAGCATAATACATGATCTAAATTACGTTAAGTCCTATGTGATTAAAGATTTTATATTTTAACTTCATTAGTTAGTTGTGAAAGTATTTGTAATTGGATTCTTTTGTTTGTATAACTTGAATATATAGTTATCCTTGAACCGGGAAAAACCGAAATCAAACCGAAAAAAACCGAAACTGAACTGAAACCGAAAGAAACCGAACAGATGAAAAACCGACATATATGTTTTTTTATTTAGAAAAACCGATATATTTGATTTTAGCTAAAAACCGAACCGAACCGAGCGGTGCTAGTGACATGTCGTTTTCTTAGACAATTTGTCATCCAATAACATCAAAGTTAGAGTCGCGAATCAAACTAGAGCAGAAAAAATTGTAGAAAACCAAAATAACAACACATACCTTGAATGATGAATGAACTCTCTATTTCTAGTTGATAATTATACGCTATTTTTTAATATTGGACCCTTTGATGGCTCATCAAACTGAAGAGTTTCATTTAAAAACAAAAAGAAAAGAATAGTTAGGCCACAACATCTAGGGGTGGGTTTGGTAGGGCAGCCGTACCAAACCCCTCGAATCACTATCATTACCGAAATTTCTATATTATGAAATTTATTATCATTGTCCTACTAAAAACTTTGGTATACCAATTTCGGTATACCAAAAGTTCGATACGGTAGGATATGATAATGGTAATTACCAATTTATGTTATCTACTATTTAAGTCTAAATTGAATATTATTTTTTCAAAGCAATTCAAGGTATATACATGTTTAAAATGTACAAAACTACTATTTAAAATATAAGAATTCTTAATATATGTTCTTAATTATATAATATAAAATATTTCTTAAATAAAATTATAATATAAAAACTTTTAACATTAATTATATCATCATTAATGAATGCAATTTAAAATATTTTTGATATACCTACGGAGTATAATAAATTTAGGCAAAATAAGTTTTTTAGTCCTATACATTTGCTAATTGAAAGTTTTAGTCTGCCATATTTCAAAATTAGAGTTTTCGCCCCGTAAGTTATAAAAGTTAAAAATAAATCTCGAAAAATCTGGTGACCAACTAACTAATAACCACTTGGACAGAAATAGCTGAACAGCTGAGTGGGGCAGTGGCAAAATAGAAATATAACCCCACTGACAATACCCATATGGTCAAACCACTGAAAACATATGGGCCATTGCCAAACCAAAATGGGATAAACAATTTAATATTTTTGAAATTAGTGGCCGTTTGAATGAATACACACACAGTATTATTTTAGTATATATAATATAATATTATATATAGGATGAATTCAAGCTTCAACTGCACCAGTATTGAATGCAACACAGAAAGAGTAAAAAAAAAATCTTAATTAATTTTCTTCCATTTGAAGTCTCCCACTCACTCAAAAGTTGATCTAGAGAGAGAAACATACTAAGAGTTTTCTAGAGAGAGAGAGAGAGAGAGTAGTGATGAGTGGCATGTTTATGGTGACAAAGGGTGGTGGGTGTGCAGGGAAGAATAAGAAGAAGAAGAATAAGAAGAATAAGTCAAAATGTTGTGATGATGATGAGGAACAAAAGCAGATTTCTTCTCTTGTGGAAGTATGTGTATCTGCATTCAGAAAATCAACATGCCGTCAAGATCAAGTGGTGATCTCCACCGTCAATCTCAATCACATCGATAATATGGAGATCGGGTGGCCCACAAATGTCCAGCACCTCACTCATGTCACTTTTGACAGATTCCATGGCTTTTTGGGTCTTCCTCTTGAGTTTCAGCTTCAGATTCCTTGCAAACCTCCCAGTGCCAGGTGTATATATATATATATATATATATATATATATATATATATTTATTTATTTATATTTTCAGATTTTTGCAACTTTTTCCCCCATTGTTTTAATTTCTTTTTTGGGTGCTTTTTGTTTAGATCTGATGTATTATGTATATATATGTTGCTGCGTCAAAGTTTGTATGTGTCCTTTTACACGAGAACATTCAATACAATTGGTTGCTAATATAATTAAAACAAAATAAATGGTTGCTAAAATAGATGTTAATTTAAAAATATTAATTAACCTTACAAGTATTCGATTTCGTCGCTATGGTTGTGCTTGTTAGTGTATTAGATGAATATGGCTTGTCAATTTGAAGATCAGAATTGCAAATACTTGATATATGCTATCTGTTACATTTAGTCAATGTAATTTTGACATTTAGATAAAGTACATTGACTATATGTAACACCCCAAGAAATGTCAAAATGTAACACTATGATAGCATATCTTATTGTCAAAAGTACATTGATCGGTACACTTTCGCCTCTGAGGGATTTAAGGAGCAGATACATGTTCATTCCAACGGGAGCTTAATCGAAATTCCTGATAAATATTTCTTATGATGCATTTTTTGGTGTCGAAGTCACTTCTACTCGATTCAATTTGAAGTGAATTTATGCAGTGTCAGTGTATGCGGCGTCTCTGCGGAATCAATGCAGTGGTCTTACGACACAAGAAGCAACAGCGTTCCAACTATTCTGTTACTAATGCAGCAAAAATTATACGCACTAGGCGGCCTAATGGTAAACATTTTTTTATTTTTTTTCTTTCTTTTCATATTTAATAACAAATAAATAAATATTGTTTCTTATGTTATATTATTGTAGACGGAAGGAATATTTCGGATAAATCCGGAGAATAGTCGAGAGGAGCATGTGCGAGACCAGCTCAACCGAGGCGTTGTGCCTGAAGATATAGATATCCATTGTTTGGCAGGTTTGATCAAAGCATGGTTTCGAGAGCTACCGTGCGGTGTGCTCGATGGTCTTTCAAAGGAACAGGTTTTGCAGTGTAATAATGAAGACGAATTTGTTGAGCTCGTTAAGCAGCTTAAACCGACTGACAGTTGTCTGCTCGAATGGGCTGTTGATCTAATGGCCGACGTCGTTGAGCAAGAAGAGCACAATAAAATGAATGCAAGAAACATTGCTATGGTTTTCGCCCCAAACATGACTCAGGTAATCGATTCATTCATTACAAGAACAATTAAGTCATGATTAATTATATGAATTATGTCTTATTTGATGTTTGGGTTAGTGCGATAACTTTTCGGGCCGGCCCGCAACTATTAAAACATGATTATTATTTCTGTTTTTTTGTTTGGGGCAGATGTTGGATCCATTGACAGCTCTGATGCACGCTGTTCAAGTGATGAACTTGTTAAAGGCACTCATCTCGAAGAAATTACGAGAACGTGAGGAATCAGCCGAAGGAGTATCCTCACCCACAGTGTCCTCTCGTTTCTCGTTTAGGCAGAAAGAATATTACGGTCAACACGACATAGATGATGATGATGCCAGCTGTGAATCGAGAGGTACTGCCTCGGATGATGAAGATGTTGAGTCGTTGAGTGAAGTCGAAGAGTGCTTCTTAAGGCAAATGGATGAGAGTGAAAATGCAAAACAAGACGGATTTCGGAGACAAATGGAGAGAATATTGTGCAGAGACAACGAGAGCCCCGTAATTTATAGTTATAATAATATCTTTGAAGATTCCGAGAGTAGAAAAATACAGTGTTCGATCGGGGAAAAGGAGTAGCCGGTTTACAAGCACTTACCGTGATGAGTACCAGATCACTAGCGCGCTGCTACATAGTTTTAATTCTGTATCTCGTAGATTGTTCGATTTGATGGCTTAAATAGTGTTTGTCTTTGATCCACCACCAAAAAATTATTATCTAACTATTCACCAACTTTAGCTTCAAATTTATTATTGTTAGCTTCAATTTAATATTGAAGGTTTGGTTCAACTATGTTGCTATTCCAAATGCAAACTTGTGTTTTACTTGTCCGGTTTTTTTCGTCCCTAATTGTTTTTGAAAATAAACACATAAAATGGTTTTCTTCCAACGGTCTGGAATTGATTATGGTGAGACACGTATTCACTAGTATTCGACCTAAAAACCACGATGAAGAAATTTTGGGCCCAGAAGTGCCCTATCTCAATGCCATAAGAGCATTGTAATATCTAGCACAATGTACTAGACCAATTTATCTCTTTTGCAGTAAATGTACTTGCTCCATATAGTTCCGATTCAACTCGAAGATACTGAAATGGTGTCAAATAATCCCTTTAATTAAAAATCACCATAACATCATCATAAGCATTATCTAGTTTCACCCTCTTATACATTAACAAAGTGAAAAAAACAGTAAATCCTTTTACATAAATAACCAAATTTCACCAACAAATTGGTCTGAATGTATATGTTCTGTGGTCTGAATAAACCGAGTGAGGAAAAAGTTTGTTTGGAGTACTCCAACAATGTGAAAGAGATAATAATAATAATAATAATAATAATAATAATAATAATAATAATAATAATAATAATAATAATAATAATAATAATAATAATAATAATAATAATAATAATAATAATAATAATAATAATAATAATAATAATAATAATAATAATAATAATAATAATAATAATAATAATAATAATAATAATAATAATAATAATAATAATAATAATAATAATAATAATAATAATAATAATAATAATAATAATAATAATAATAATAATAATAATAATAATAATAATAATAATAATAATAATAATAATAATAATTTATACAGTCACTGGCAGTAAATTATACAGTCATTAACATGTAACAATACTGACAGTAAATTAACGTAACAATACTGTAGTGACAGTACAATTAGAGTTAACGACAATATTTTTTTTTGGTTGTAATTTTGCTTGATTTGTTGACAAGTCGACGTAATTATATTACTGTCGTTGACAGTAAAATAACTGTAAACACAATAATATTACTGTCAACCAAAACAATATTGCTCTTTAAACGGGGGACAAAAGATGTTAAAAAAAAAAATCAAAAAAGTAAACTCCAAAAACTGGTCGCGGAAAAATCAGGAAGAAAAAAAAAGGAAAAAGAAAAATAAAAAAATCAACGGCGGAGACTTTTGTTGACCGTCGGTTAACGTCGGAAACCGCAGGAAAAAAAAAAAAGTCAACGCCGGAGACCGGCGGTGACAGACGAAATTATCCACAAAATTGTGTTTTGGGTCAAAATTGAATAATTAGTAAATTTTGGGGTCAAATTGAGGTTAGATTAAATTAAATGATGAAATTGGAGCATATTAAAATATAAGGGGCTATTTTAGTCTTTTACAAACCTCTGGACCATGTGTGGACTTTTTCGTAAAAGAGTTTATTGTCTGAACCTCCTTACGAATAAGTACCCATTGATGACCTTATTTATAAAATACCCATATTTTTTTTATGAAAATCTTAAAATAAATATCCAAAATACCCTTAAACAATAAAATTATATTGTTCCACCACCGCAGTCCATATTATTTCTCTCACGGTCCACACCTATTCTTCTGTTACGTATGTGTTCTTCCTAAACATAATTTTTTGAAACCCTAGCTAGCTCTTCAATCTTCTCAAATATATTAAAATATAATGGAGAAAGAGAATGATAACACGGAGGAAGATGTTGAAAATATATCCAAAGAGGTAAACTTATCAAATATTTTGTCAATTTATTCAATTTATGTAACAATATTCATATATGTAGATTCAGTAGATGACAACCGAAAATATCTATCAAATTTGGCCAATATCAACCGAAATGTGAAAGAAACTTCAATATGTATCATATAAAATTGGGTTAAACATTCGACAAATATTGGTTCAGTTTGACAACGTTTCTTCTTTCTTCCATAGTGACAATAGTAGCAAAGCTTCCAATAAAGAAATACTAATAGATTACTCAATTATATTTACAAACTATAATACATTTGTTACGAGGGATGCATTGATTACAAGGGCATGATTACATGGGCAAGTGATGCTGGTAGACAAAATGGCATGGTTCTGACAATTAAAGTTTCTGATAACAGGAACAATCGGCGTCGACGACCATATATTGTACTTGCATGTGAGCGTGCTGGAAATTATCGAAGACGTATTATACGTGAAGGAGGAGGAAAATGCAAACATGATACATGTTCAAAAAAATGGATGTCAATTTCGATTGAAAAGGCAAAAGTTAGGTATGATTGTGAACAAGTGGGGTGGGAGTTGATGTTATATGTGGAGTTCATTATCATGGGGATTTCGAGGATAAGGGAGGACATTCTTTTGCAGGGAGACAATCCACTCATGAGATGGCTTTAATTGAAGATATGTCGAAGGGGTTGTAAAGCCTAAGGAGATCCTGGCAACATTGAAACAAAGGGATAAATAACTATCTTGAAGACATTGTATAATGTTCGTCATAGGATGAAGTATAATGAAAAACCTAGATCACAAATGCAATTTTTAATGGGAAAATTAGTTGAAAACAATTATATTCAGTGGCATAGGTCATGTAAGAAGACAGATGAAGTCACTGACATGTTATGGGCACACCCCACTAGTATTAATCTTGTACGTAACATTCCATATGTGTTGGTAATGGATTGTACCTACAAAACAAACCGCTATCGTCTTCCATTACTTGAGATTGTGGATATTACATCAACTCATAAGACATTTTATGTGGCATTCACATACTTGAAATCACAGAGGGCAGAGAACTATGAGTGGGCATTAACAAGACTTCAGACGATCATGAAAGGTTGTCCTATGCCCAATGCTACTGTCATCGATCAAGACTTGGGATTGATGAAGGCTATAGCGATCATATATCCTACTAACGTCATATGATATGTCGTTGGCACAGCAACAAGAACTTAATAGCAAATTGTAAGAAATTATTTGACGACGATGAAATGTGGGTGGGATTCATTTGAGTCGGAGTGGAACATTCTTGTTAAACAATAGAGCGATGTGTTGTTTAAATCCAAGTTGGGTACATTAGAAATTAAATTTTCTAACTATCCTGGTGTCTTATCTTACATTAAACATACAATGTTAAACCTTTATAATGATAGGTTCTTATCGACGTATACTGACACGTTCATTCACCTGGGAGTGTACACATCAAATAGGTATATTATGTATGAATTACTTGAGTGGTGATAAATGTAAACTTTGTTTAAATATCTCACGTTATTATATATGTTTATAATAGGGCTGAGAATTCGCATGCTAGCCTTAAACTTCAGTTGGTATCTTCTTTAGGAACGTTTTCTGATAATTGGTCTAAAATCGACAAATTGTTGTTACTGCAACAAACTGAGATTAAGGCCTCGTTCCAGAAAAGCAAATACCACTACCAACATTTTTTCAAGTTCAATATCTATAAAGAGCTTCGAGGCTTTGTTTCATTGTTTTCTCTTTATAAGATTAATGGAGAGTTGAACAAAACACGTGGTCTTTTGTCAGGCTCATTTGAAATACCTTGCAAATGCACTATACGGGTAACACATGGATTACCTTGCTCGCACGAGTTGTATGATTTTCAGATGAGCAACGTACCTATTGCACTAGATTGTATTGACTCACATTGGAGAATGTTATGTATGGAGCCAAGCTCAAGACCTAATTTGTGTAAACATGTAGTAAATACTTATGACGACGATATTGATGAAATCTGTAAGCTGTTGAAAGAAAAAGATAAAGAACAAAAACGAATTCTCATTGCTAAAGTGAGGGAGATTCTAAAGTCTGAGGTAAATGGCCTTGTGGAACCATCTAAGAAGGTAGTGACAAAAGGTCGACCGTCAAAAAAATTGATAAATCCACTCGTCGCGATCCTTCTGCATTTGAGTATGAAGAATCAATTAGAGGGAGTTGCTCACAAAAGGTATGTAAGTAATTTAATTATGTTTTATGAAGTTATAAATATGTTGTAATTTTTGTTATATTTCACATACATGACTTGATGCCTCACAAACAAGTAAAAAATACACCAAGTTCGTCAATGTGGTCTCTAAATATCTTCTATTCACAACCTAGTATTCAAAAGTTGCCGGTAATTACATTAAATTAATATTCACCTTGCAATATTATATGTATCTGATTACTTTATGTATATATGTAGGTTTGCAAGCCGCGCTTAAATATCAAAATGAAGTATATTGAACAACATCAATGCTAGGGTTGGGACAAGAGAATTGGCCAAAGATTCGAGGTGAGTTATTAGAGGAGTTGCGCAAGAATTATGATATATACATGAAGATGCACAAAAATCAGGATCATGTTGAACAATTGGCTAAGTCTCTTCAAAACTTAGAGTCACCTATTGGCAACGAATATTGAATGACTCTTCCGGACATGGGTCATTTTATTGCCTCTCGGTACAATATTGTACTTCACCTCTTTTCACTAACCCAATATCTTACATTTCTTCCACTTAAAAGCAAGCCTGTTGTTATGGAGTTGAGGTCAGAGGTGGCTATGGCACTTGTTAATATAAATCATTTTGTACATATTATCCTAAAGAAAAATTCTCTAGTCCCATTAGTTGGAGATTATTGGAAGAGATATCATGATGAGTTGGCAAATGACTGGGATAGTGCTTACACTTCTAGAATGGACACAATTAAGTTACTGGTCGGCCCTAATATATTGATTACAGAGTGTTTAGATTTAGCAGATGACTAGATTAACAATAGTTAACTATGGCATTTTTTTTATGAGACTTTTAGTTTTTCTTCTCATATACTATGTTGCTAATTCTATGACATTATGATTTTTATAATATTATATATTATTCTTAAATAAGAAACAAAACAACATATTATACTGCAAAGTGCAAAACACAATCATTCTTATATATAATGCTCGTGAATACAAAAATTTCGGAAACATAAACACCTAATTTTTAGTTTTCTTCCTCTTTTTATGTGATATAGTGAAATAAA